GTATGGCTGTGGGAACCCTGTCTCTTAAAAAAAAAAAGTTATCCCATGTCTTTGTGCATCCCTTATGGTTTAGAAAGGTCAAAGGTGAGATCAAGGAGTGGTCAGGGTTGACGAGAAGCCCTACCTGATGGAATAAAGGCAGCTTGCTGCTGAAACTGCATGTTGGCCAAAGCCTGCTGGTACTGGAGCATGCCAGTACTGAACATGCTCGTGGCACCGTTGGCTTTCTCAAGCGCAGGTCGCTTTGGTAAAGGTGGCATGACACTGTGAGGAATTCCCTGCTCCGATAAGACCACAGGGAAGGGGGGTGAAGGAAATGGGGAACGGGTCGGGATGTGTGGAAGAGAGTAAAGACAGGAAAGGAACAAGAAAAAGACAGAATTATCATCAGAGGGCAAAACATCACAGGGCTCGATTCTGACAAACAAGCAAGCAAGCGGCAGCTAATACATGTCTACGGCACAAGCAAAAGCCAAAGAGCCAGTTTCTCTCGCTATAAAACTAAAATTAGCACTGAACATCTGTGATTTACATCAGGAGAGTATTAATTCATTAACATTACAACATCCATACTGCTAACTCAATGCAAATGAAGCAAGCGTAGCACTACTCAAATGTATTGCAGACATAAGTGACAAAAAAAAGAAAAAGAAAAAAAGGAAAATAAACTGCACTGCTCACTCCATGATAAGTGTGAGAAAGAGACTAGATCTTTTCTGTTGCTTTAATGGTGGAGCTTTAGTATTCTTCTGCTGCTACCCCTCCCATAGACATATGCACTACACAGAGATACTAAACATGCATACTGAACATAAACATATAGAAGCCATGTCACTAAAGTTTAGAACATCTGGCCCTGTCCTCACGCCCTGGAATAACACACGTGTGATGATCTGATTGCGGCAGACGGGCATATCTGGTTTCTCGTTACACATCTGCTCAATATGCTCGCCGCAGTCAGTTGATCACACGACATGGTAACACAGAACACAACAGAGGCATTAAATAAACAGACAACAAAAGGACTATGCTTGCGAATGATCTTTCTTCTGTTGTTAAGACACTACAATAAAGCAACATGCCAAGCAAAAAGGTGAAAGGTCATAGTACCAGGTCAAAGGTGGCTTCGAGGGGTCGCTTCAGTGATTTGACAGCCGACTGAGTCTTAATTAGCAGGCAGCGAGCACATGATGGCAATGGGCCAATGGGGTTCAAGCGCATTAACATAAACAGCAAGCAGAGGTGCATCATGGGGGCAGCAGTGCATTTTGGGTAGGTGAGAAAAAAAACAAATAAAAACAAATCATTGGAATGCAGTATACAGGGGGATATCTGGACTAAGGCATGCAGAAATACAGTCCATTCTGTTTTAGAAAACTCTGTACTGAGATTCAATTAACAAGTACATCAATTATGGTAACATTAACAGGGTTTCATTGACAGTAAACATACTTGTAATACAACGTCAACAGTGGATAACATTGCGCTGGATTGCAAACATACATTTAATGTGCAGAAATGTTACATAAAAATAACTAGGACGCTGCCCTCTGCTCGACAGGATGATGAAATTACATATTTGTGCAGTTTAAATGGGAATGGCAATGACTTGTTGTAGGTAGGTATATAATATCTTATACAGATCTCTATTAAAAATATGATCCATAAGAAACATTCATAAATTCTTATTTATTGTTAAAAACTCCTGAAACTTTTTTTTTTTAGAAACCTGAGATCAAATATATACCAAGAAAGTGTTAATTTTACACTATTTCTACACAATTAAAAAAAAAATGTTTTCTTTTATAAATCCTTATTTAAAGATTTCTTTTTTTCAAATTAAAATGTTTTTCTTTAAAGGAAGAATTCAAACCAAAATTAAAGTTTGCTTAAAATTTACTCATCTAAAGGCTATCCAAGATGTAGATGAGTTTGTTTCTTCATCAGAACAGATTTGGAGACATTTAGAATTACATCACTTGCTCCCCAATGGATCCTCTGCAGTGAATGGGTGCCGTCAGAATGAGAGTCCAAACAGCTGATAAAAACAACACAATATGACTCCAGTCCATCAATTATTGTCTTAAGAAGTAAAAGCTGTGTGTAAGATACAAATCCATTATTAAGGATGTTTTATTCTAAACATCACTTCTGGCCAAAATACCAGTCTATAAACCATAATAATGCTTCCTCAAGGGAAAAAGTCCATCACCTATTCTATCCTCTCACATCACAACAGCCCTTAATGACTGTTTTTGCTTGTAAACTGTGCTTGATCTGTGCATACTTCTCTCCTGATTCAGACAAGATGACATTTTCACTAGAAAAAGCAATATTATGGATAGAGGACTCGATTTGAAGTTAAAATGTATTAATGATGATTTTCTTTTTCTTACAAATGTGCAGCTTTTCACTTCACAAGTTGTGAATTGATGGACTAGAGTGGTGTGGATTACTTGTAGATTATTGTAATGTTTTCATCAGCTGTTTTGGACTCTCATTCTGACGGTACCCATTCACTGCAGAGGATCCATTGGTGAGCAAGTGATGCAATGCTATGCTTTCTCCAAAACTGTTCTGATGAAGAAACAAACTCATCCCCATCTTGGATGGCCCGAGGGTGAGTACATTTTCATTTTTGTGTGAACAATTCCTTTAAATGCATTCTTTAAAATGGCACAGAAATGTAAAATATATACCATCTAAGAAAGTGTTAATTCTACAAACAGTATGATGCATGAGAACAGCATTACATGACTGTGTGTGTGAGGATGTAGAGGATGTGCTCACCATGGCAGCGGCGGCCGTGGCCTGATTGACCTGGTGCTGGGCCGCTTTGATCTTGGCCTGCAGGTGTGCAGGAGGGTGGAAGTATTTGCACTTGTCTCTGGAGCAGCGGCCCTTTATGAAATCCATACACACCGTCACGGTGTTATCACTGGGGTCGATCATTGTGCTGTCGGCAGGGTGGGCAAACCTGCAGTCCGTCTCTCCACGAGAGCAGTTGCCACGCTGGTATTCACGACACACCTGAAAATACACACAGCTGTAATGCATCGCTTGGCATATTGAGAGACTACAAAGTTTGTGTTTGTGTAAAAACAAAATTTGACTGAATTGTGCACTAATTAGCCAAGGTTTCATTAATAAAGAGACCCTGTAATCTTTAATTTAATTATGTTCAGAATGGCATGCTACTACTGAAACAAAGTAATATGCAGTAGTGTGCATAATATGTGAACTTTCTGTATGCATGGATGCAGAAATGTGAAGGGTGTAACCAAAGCACAATGTGCATATATGTACCATAGCCCACAATGCAATGCAAAATATTTTTTTATATCTCTTCCTTGACTTAATATTTTAACAGTTAAGAGACTTTCCACAAAAGTGCATTAAAATATTGCTAAAATGTACAGTGAACGACCAGTACACTGCATGAAATATTGTACTCCACAATGCAATGCACTCAACCAATCCACCATGTCGTTTTATAAAAAAAAAAAAAAATTATAATCTAAAAAAGTACCCATATTTTATAACAATCCCAATTTATGTTATTTTACATATATAAAAAATAATACAGTATAATAAAATATTATAATTAATTATCATTTATTATATTAATATAACAAATTATGTTAATAATTATGATTATAATAGTTATGTTAAAACATTTCACCCATATTTAATACCAGCTTAGCTTGTTATTTTATAAATAGAAATAATGAATACATTATAATATAATTAAGTATAATGTTTTATATTCATATAATAAATTAAAAGACAACCTTCCATTTCCAGAGTGATTAAGTAATATCAGCCTTAATTTGTACTGCATTTCCCATCTTGGCTTTTTATTTGATTAATTGCATGTAATGTAGCGTACTACACACTAAAACACTTATTAGTGCATACTACATGCTGTTGCACATAAGTATATTTTTTAAAACGAAACAGTAGGCAGGATATAGTACACACTGTGCAGTTTGTAACATTATTTAATTCAACACATAGCCAGTATTGCAGCACTTTCTCAGATGAGGAGATGTGTTTTTTCATTCAGTGGTCAGCAGAGGGCAGCAGCCCCTTTATTTCTTACTTACTAGCAAGTATAGTTGTAACTTACATGCATGCACACAAAGATTAAGATTTAAATGTGTATATGTGTGAAAGAAAGAGATATTGATATTGGCTCTCTGATGACCTCATACCTCCAGTCGGTCTGTTCTGAGGAGTTTCTGGGCAGCTGAAACAGCAGCAGCGGACGGCACGGATCCCACAGCAGGGCTGCCCGCCATCAGCACAGGTGCGCTGGGCAGGATCTCTGCGGGCATCAGCCCAGGAGACACTGGGCCCAGGTACGGATTAAACGCAGCTGCGGCGGCTGCTGCAGCAGCTGCACTGGCGTTGGTTGCAAGGCTTGGCGTGACCGAAAACATAGGCTGAAACAGACCGAAAATAATAAATGAAACTGATATAGTGACACTGCTATAAATCGACTTTCTGTTTCTGTGACTTATGCAAATGATATAGTCAAGGGTCAAAAAATAAGCACTGTTATTTGACTATTATCCACACTTACAAAAGGTATCATGGCAGTACATGATTTTGTGTTATTATTATTATTATTTTTCATTGTTTTTAAGAAGTGCATGGCCACAGTAGTTTATCATTTATACCATTAACACAAATTAATATAACTACTTTTTTCGGCATTGTATATATATCGTAATACAAACATAAGTTAGTATATAATAATAAAAGTGGCACAAAGCATAAATAAACTTTAACAAACATTAGACTAACATTTACAGAAAATGCTTATGTATAGAAATGGCCTGATCTCTCTTGAGGTCATAAGAATGGAGCCTCACCATTGGCTGAAGCTGACTTCCTGGCATGATGGCATTGGCTAGCTGCATCTGCTGGGCGAGCATTGCCATGTTCTTCTGCTGGATCAGATTGTTACGGCCATTAATCTCCAGCTGCGTCTTCAGGTGAGGAGGAGGGTGCAGGTACTTACAGTTCTCTCTGGAACAACGACCCTGAGAATAATAGAGAGAGAGGAAGAACGTGAGGAGAAGAAAAGAAAGAGGAAATGTACATATTAAACCTCATGTTTTATTGTGATTTTACTGTTTTAAGTTAGATTCATACATGTAAAAAATAATAGTAATTGAATTCAAGTAAATTAATCATTTGTGATTTACTAAAACACATAAAATTACCAGAAAACATCACAATTAAAATAACAAAATTTTTTGAATTACAGCATAAATATATTGTCATCACTTCGTCACCCTTGTGTTTTTCCAAATTTGTTAATTATATATATATATATATATATATACATATGAGTAAATGATGTAAGAATATTCATTTTGTGGGTGAACAAACCATTTAACCTCTTGTAATTAACCTAAATTCCTCAAATATGTTTATATCATTTCATCATATCACTTTCGTTTAAGTTTAACTTGATGCACTAAAATAAATAAAACTAAAACTGAAATAAAAAAACTATATAGACATATTAAGAAAAACAAAACAAAAGTACATATTAAGAAAAAAGAATAAACAAAACAAAGAATACTAAAACTTGAACTAATGAACTTTCAAATATAAAATTACAAACAGAAAATATAAAGTTAAAAACAAATTCGAAATATAAAAAATAAACTAAATGATGGTAAAATGACTCGTATAATATTGAAGTTTTATCCCTGTTTTAGACATGCACTTTTCACAAATTTGCAAAACACACTGCAGAAAAGTATAACACAGATTAAAATAAACACCAAGTATGGGTGTATACTAATTATACAATGTTTGCATTTGATAATTAACTGCATTAAGACGGAATAGTAAATGACATGCAACTGGCATCTCCAGTTCTGGTTCATTCTCTCTGTTTAACAGCAGATAGAGGGAACACCCTGTTCTCATTCCAGCTGACAGTATTGAGTGCACGGGAAAGCCCTCTGCTCTAATGCATCTGATCGCAACCCGCAGCTGCTTTCAGCCCACGTGGAATCGGCCCTGACAGGCTGTCACTCAATCGATTAGCTGAGTATCGATTAACGAGTCACATCAGTGCGAGAGAAATCCATCTGACGAGTTTATGGATATACAGTAACCCGTGTGACCCCCCGTCCACATGCACTCGGATGATGAGTATCTTTATCTGGGCTGCGTAGGTGAGTATGTCAGGACACTCTCAGGTGAGTATGTTCAATTATCTCTGCAGCCAGCACTTTAGGAGAGTGTTATGCAGTTGTGATCAGTGGATGGATCTGGATGGCTATACAGGGCTAAAACGTTTCTGGAAAGTGAACTGACTTCTCTCCTAAACTCACAATGCCAAAAAATGCTTTTATGCAAAGCATCTACAATTGCTAGAAGAGAATGCAGTTAACTGGAACTAGGTTTGCATAAACTAAAAACAAACACAAAACTACTTACAACAAAGCAACATTTACTGTATAACTCCAATAATATATTTATAACAATTGTCAATTTTAATTTTAAATGATATTATTAAATAATTTTTAAACTATTAAAATAAATAATATTTTATTTGTGTCCAATAATACAGCACAATCCAGTTTAGGTATTTTTGCTGTAATTTTTTTTACAGCAGGAAAAAAAACTATAGCTTGTTTTAATTTTAATTATATAATAGTGCTGTCAAACGACTGTTTAGCTTAGCAATATGGTATAATGTAGTGCTGTCAAACGATTAATCGCATCCAAAATAAAAGTTTTTGTTTGCATAAAATGTGTTTTGTGTATATTTATTATGTATATATAAATACACACACATACAGTATATATTTTGAAAATATTTACATTGATTTACATGTACATATTTATATTCATATAAATTATATTATATATAAATATATTTAATATATAAACATATTTTTCTGAAATATATACATGCATGTGTGTGTATTTATATATACATAATAAATATACACATTACACACATATATTTATATTATGTAAACAAAAATGTTTATTTTGGATGTGATTAATCATGATTAATCGTTTGACAGCACTATTATATAATAATAATTTAAATAATAATTACAAGTTCTGAATACAGCATGTTTTATTAATTCTTGTAAAATGACTGTAAAATACAGTGTTTTGTATTCAATTAAAAAAAAAATTACAGAAAGTTCAAAAGAACAGCATTTATTTGAAATAGACATTTTTTGTAACATTATAAATGCCTAACCCTAACCCTAACCCTAACCCTTGCTGAATAAACATAGCCTACTTTCTTACAAAACACACACACACACACACACACACACACACACAAAGACCCCAACCCCATACATAGTTAATGTTTTTGTAGAGACAATATAAATGTGTAGCACTTTTACACCCAGTTCAGCTAGACAAAGTCCATAATAAGTGTGGGACCTGTCAGACAAACATTGTGAGCGAGAGGTCAGGTCAGTCAATTCGAGGGGAAAATAGCAGGGAGTCAGATGTCCCTCAGCAGTACCACACACACAAAACACACCCCTAAATGTTAAACCCTCTCTGGGTTTGTCTTCCTCCACTATCATACACTGACAGGCGTCATCAGTTCATCCTGGTCACTGAAGATCTCCACCAGCTGCAAATACTATTAACAAAGTTTCCCCAACACAAACAAACTAGGAACTTATCTATTACAAGTCTTGATTTGACTAAACACCTGTCCAACAATCACATTTACACAACACATTAGCAGTTTGGTAACATATGCATTCCAAAATAACATGCCAGAGCATTAAGATTGTTATTTTTAGTCTAATACGAATTCCAACTGAATTCACTTTGTATAACTGGTCAGTGATATACCACAGAGACAGAGGCTAAAGCAGATAGCAGAACCTTCTGGAAGTGTGACGTAAGTTTGCGCTCCTATCTATGCAGCATGTAGAAAATAAATAAAACACACACATACTTGGCTGTGAGTGTCTGGCTGGTATTCTGTGAGCTGAAGTTTCGACCATCTGTTTAAGACATTAGTGAAGCTGGGCTATGAGAAGATGAAGACTCTCTCAGAACTCTCTTTAGTCTTAGTCTTAGGGTCTTTAGTTCTTTCTTGACTTGACTAACTTGATTCATGCAAGTGTCACACACTCAAAAATATAGTTTTCTAATTCAATAGGCCCTTGCTAAAAATCTTCAAATGTTACTACCTTAGCAACTGTTGCTGTTATTTTTATTTTTTTCAAATGTATAATTCTCATTTTACAGACAAGCCAAAAATTTGGTAAACAATGAAGTTTTAATTACAATTATAGCATTCAACTTGTTTTAATCTAAAACATCAAATTAAAATGCTGTGGAATATTTAAAAAATATTAAAATGTACGCAATATATTTCATTTTAATGAGCAACTATTATTATAATAATTCATTATAATTATACATAATTTTATTCAATAAATGTAATAATGGTTTTATTGAATACAATTAGTTTATCACACATTTAGACAATGATCAACTAATCAACAGTTAAAAATGCTATAAAAATGCTTTATTATTATTTTATTTAATAAATAATTTAATAATGTTGTATTTAATTATTACAAGTTATTTCCCACACCTTTAGATAATGATCTACTAATTAACTTTACCTTTATTTTATTATTATTAATAATATTTATTATTATTATTTTATTGACTTAATAATTTAATAATGCTTTTAAATCGTAATACCTCATAATACAAATCATATATATACTTTATATATATATATATATATATATATATATATAGTATCACACATTAAGTCACTGACACTTAATATTTGTCAGCACAGTCAAACCTTTGAAGGAAGTCAGATACAAATGTGAATCTGTGTGTGTGTTTTATGCGGGTCTGTGCATGTTGAAGGGTGTGTGGGTGAGAGCGTTCTGTGAAAGGTGTAACACGGCCCTACTGAGCATGTGCGAGAGATATTAGTACTGTACGCTCACTAACCTGCCGAGAGGAAGAGCAAAAGAGGAGGCAGGAGGGGAAAGAATGAGGAGAAAATCAAGTTGAAGGATAAAAGAAAGATGTGTTTATGGGAGGTGGGTGATATGGGGCGAGCCGTGCGTGTCAGGGCTACCGGAGTCGAGTTACACTCACCCCATCTAACCCCACTCACCCCATCCGTAACCTCCTGCAGTACAGCAGCACAGGGGCTCAGGTCACATGACACACACATGTAAGGACATGATTCATTTAACTAAAGAGCCATTCAGTGCGAGAAAATGTTAGATCTAGAGTATAGTGAGATCTGGAGCAATGGAGTTCTTAACCAAACATTTAACTATTACGGTTTTATCTTTTATCTGTCATTTTGTACTTCCCTGTACTTATGAGTAACTGACTAGGCTTACATTTCACTGCAAGTTGTATTTTGTATATAACTGTGTATGTAACAAATAAAAATCTTGAATTTTGAATTACATTTATTTAACCCCAAATTATAGATTTTGACCAAATTAAATCTTCCTTATATAGTTGCAAACACTGAAACAATAGAAAATGTAAAACAATGTATTAAAGTATTTGTATATAACAATGTAAATAAAAGTATTTGGATACTTTTAATATTAATATGAATAATGCATTCTTTTGTTGCATAATGCAAATGCATTTTTAAAGAATCAAGTAATATGCAAAATCATCCTGATAAAATACAACAAAGCATAATTTATTTATTGACTTGGATTATCTATTTACTTTATTTTGTTTAAATTCAATCATTGATTTTTGTCGCTTGCATTGTTTTTATAAGCTGCTGACTGGACTGAGCCATACAGAATTTTGTTACAATTATCTAATGTAATTTTCTTTAAAACTGATCCTTTTTTTAAAATGTCAAATTATTCTGGCCTTGCTTGCATATACACAATAGCAAAAGAAAGAGCATTATAAAAAATCCACTATAAAACTACACTTCCAATTTCCAGTGAATATAGCTCTGTCTGGCAAGTTCATGAAGCACCTATCATAAGTGCTAATATTCCTTTTCATGTTTTTTTTT